TTTTGAGACACAGCGTCTCTCTGTTGCCCAGGCTGGGATGCAGTGGTGTGATCATGGCTCACTGCAACCTCCGCCTCATGGGTTCAAGTGATCCACCAGCACCAGCTGTGGCCTCCAAAACTGCTGGGATTACAAGCGTGAGCCACCATGCCTTGCCCAAATTTCTTAAGTTACTGTGGAGTTCTTAGGAAAAATCCTGTACTTGAAAAAGTTAGAAACTGACAGGAAGGATTTGAGATGGCGACTTACCTCATATACATTCCTTATTAAAACTAGATAACAAATGCACCGCGGAGGAGGGGAGGGGTAGGAAGAATGGAAAAAGAAAATCAACGCATACTTACTCTGATTTTGGAAGAATCGAAAGAGAAAATCAGAGCGTGCGTACTCCGTGGAAGCATCGAGAGAGAAAGTCAGAGCATGCGTACTCTGAACTTAAAGTAGCCAATCCCTGGGGATGCTTTAGGCGGGAAAATCAGAGTCTCTGCCCCCACTTTGAGAAGGTTCTGTCCCTGGAGGCTGGACTGATAGTTGCCACATGGGCTTCACTTATCCCGCCTACTGTTCTGACTTCTGATTGGCCAGATGGAGTTCACTAACTGCCCTGATTGGTCCATCATCCTTGGGCAGTGACATTGCAGAATATTGTCTCCTCTTCCAGCCACATTTTGTTGCCACTGTGACAAAGTGGGTGGTCCTCAGGCACCGTCAGGGGAAATTGATCTCTCTGAAGACTGTCCCTGGATCTTGGGTTAAAAATCTGTATTCTAGTCTGAACTGTGGGAAGAAAAAAATAGTCAGATCTGTGATTTTTCTACTTGAAAGACACAATGTTTACCAAACTAGCACATTTGCAGAACTTTGCTGTACTTAGTCGTGGCGTTCATTCTTCAGTGGCTTCTACATCTGTTGCAACTGAAAAAAACAGTCCGAGGCCCTCCAACCTCTGATTACATTTTTGAAAGGGAATCTAAGTGTGGTGTGCAAAATTACCATCCTTTACCTGTAGCCCTGGAGAGAGGAAAATGTACTTACTTATGTGATGTGATTGTGGTATTGGTTACATCCGCCTTGGCCAATCCTCCTTCTTCGTTCTCAGGACTACAGGCGTGAACCACCCCACCCCCACTAATATTTTTTGTTTTTTTATTTTTTAATAGAGACCGTTTCCCTATGTTGGCCAGGCTGGCCTCAACGTCCTGGGCTCAAGGGATCCTCCCACCACAGCCTTGAGACTACAGGCATGCACCACCCTGCCCATGCTTTTTTTTT